CGAGACAACGAATCATCATGTCTTTCAAGTGAAGATAACGAAAGTATAAATGAAGAAGAAGATGAAAATCTTAATATTGATCATGACGAAGAACTTATTGATCAACGTTTACTTATTGATACAGCTGCACTTGATGCAGCTATTGTTGATGCTGATGCTATTGCAGATCAAGAAGTCATCTCACATAATAACAATGACGATAATGAACAAAGCGATTCCACTTCAAATAACTAAAGTTTTTCTTTCAAAATTTTTTTTATACCTACGCATGAATGTTGTGCCAAACTTTTTTTCAAATGTACCTAGATATGCATATACATGTAACCTGTTGTTTTAATGAGAAAAAAAACAATAAACAAGTAAATATGACTAACGATTATCGTTAAGAGTAGAATGTAAAACATATGAAAGTTGAACTTTGAAATACAAATGCAATGTATAATTAATGCGATACGAAGCAAAGCATTCATGTACTCTTTCGTGAGTTTTCTTGCTTTCTCGACGTACGTATTCAACGTTGTCATTTTATGTTACGATTATCTCAGCAAAAAAATATCGAAATCGAACTGATACCATGCATTTGCAGGAAGCGTCACAAAAACACGATTTTGACTTTTTCACATTTCGAGATAATTAAAGCGAAAAGTAGAAGCAAAATTTAGGCGTCACTTATCTCTAACAACTGTTTTACAGTTGAAAATATGAGTAGTGACACTAGATATAAGCTAACTACCTTTATATCTTGAGGATGTGGGTGGATGTCAGTAATTAGAATATATATGATACATTCACACTCATTCTCCAATTTGATAAATCTAAGAAAAGAATGTTTTGTTTAGAATATTGCTATTGAAAAGATCAGTATATCATATAATAAAGTTATTCATGACACATAGTATTTTTTTTGTTTAATATTAATCATAAATACAGATGTTACATACAAAGAAGATCTATGTTTATACAAGTACATTAAACTTTTACTATTACTATTCAAAATCTGAGAGTATATTTTACAGATAATTTGATAAATTACTAGCAGTTAACTTCTTTATGCAACTGTTCCATAAGATGATATGTCATAGTTTTCAAAAATAAATTTTATAGTTGAATATAAGCTACTTCTAAGAGATAACACAAACATACTGATTATTAAAAAATTGTACATGATCAACTAGTTTTCTGTATTACTGATGTTTTCAAAATAGATAGATAGAAGTATTACGATTCAATTCTCAAAAATAAGAAGTCTTGTTCAATAACTTTAATTTTTTATTTTTAAAATTGGATGGTATTGAAATGACATCAATAGATTTTTCTCATCTATATGTAGATAATATTCTTTCATGTCGTTTCTTTCTTTTCATTTATTTTAATATGCCAATGTAGGTTCATACTAGAAGAAAAAAAACGAGAAATAAGATCGGTATGAAAAGAGAAGAAGATGAAAGAGAGGAATAATAAAATAAAAAATGTTACAATATCGTTTAACTACCCCACGTGTATAAATATATATATATATATACATAACAGTATTTGTAGAAGAGGAATGAGAGAAGGTATGGCAGAGATAATGGATGAATGAAAATGTATGTAATTTATTCGTGTATGATTCTTCATTTGTTATTTCCAACTCAGTTACATTTTTACAAGTATGTTTTATTTATCTTATCTTATTTCTTAGAAAACAGAAAAAAAGTTTTATTTGTTGGCATTCTTTGTTATGTCGTTTCTTTTCCTAAGTCTATTAATGCAATATATATTCAGTATAAGTGTATAAATTTATATGTATAAGTATATAAGACAGCAGTAAAAAATTTCGAAGAGTGCATGATTATTCTTCAAACTATTTTTTTCTGTTAGCTTACTCAGCGTAGTATGAAAGAGTTTTTAGTCAATAGATTTAGTAAGCGAAAACGAAAACATATCATGTATTTACAACTGATGTCGATATTATACACTCATTCTTCAAAAATATTTGACTATATGGTAGATATATGAATTTTTCAATGATTAAAGGCTAGGTATAGCAGAACTGACTGATTTTCGAGCATTTTCTCACTTTTTTCGGCGCAATATAGGAAAAATAGAAAAAATGAGCAATCTATAGCACAAAATATAGAATTTTTCAAAAATATAGGTCGAATTCGACTCCAGCTGAGTCATTGACGTATATTTAACAAATATGAAAAAACCAAATGAAATGATAATAACAGAGAAAACAATGTAAATGATGATAAAAAGAATAATCTCGAAAGAAAATTCTTATACTATAAAATGACATATTATTCTCATTTATTCATAAACATTTCTTCTTGAAGTAGTCTACACGACAAAAAATGAAAAATGTCCTCCTGATTTGGGTGGACAGCAATATTAATGAAAATAATACTGATTGTAGTAATACAATCAAACAATTAAAACGCGTAGTTAACAACATAAACACGTTTACAGATAGTGACCAGTGTGTTGAATTTATTCAACCAATCACTAACAACAAAGTATGTATGATTGTTTCTGGTTCACTTGGAAAACATATTGTGCCTCATGTGCATGATATGTCCCAAGTAGACACCATTTTTATTTTTTGTAGCAATCAAGAATGGCATAAACAATGGGCAAAAGAATGGCCTAAAATAAAAGGAGTCTTCACAGATATAACATCAATCTGTGAAGCTCTCAAGCAAACTGCTCACCAATGTGAGCAAAATGCCATCTCAATCAGCTTTGTGGCATCAAACAAGAAGTTGAATCAATTAGATCCATCATTCATGTATACTCAGATCTTGAAAGAGATCTTATTAACAATCAAATTCGAAGACAAACATTTCAAAGAATTTATTAGTTATTGTCATGAAGTATATGAAGATGATGAAAATGAAGTAAAAAATGTTCATCAATTACAAACAACATACAAAAACAACATACCCATATGGTGGTATACATGGAATGCATTTTTATATCGTATGCTCAATCAGGCATTAAGATTAATGGATGTTGATATTATTGTTCGAATGGGTTTCTTTATTAATGATCTACATCGTGATATTCAACGACTACATTCTGAACAATTCGATGACCATCAATCAGATACAACATTTACAGTTTATCGTGGACAAGGTCTTTCAAAAGAAGATTTCACCGAAATGACAAAAACTAAAGGTGGACTTCTTTCATTTAATAACTTTTTATCAACTAGTAAAAATCGTGATGTTTCTCTTGTTTTCGCACAACAAGCTGCTACAAATCCTGATCTTGTTGGAATTCTATTTGTTATGTCAATTAATCCAGCTGATTCAACAAATCCATTTGCTTGTGTTAGTGATGTTAGTTATTTTCATACAGAAGATGAAGTTCTCTTTTCTATGCATACCATTTTTCGTATTGGAGATATCAAACCAATGGATGGAGATAATCATCTCTATCAAGTGAATCTAGTATTGACCAATGACAACGATCGAGATCTTCGAACTCTTACTGATCGTATCCGAGAAGAGACCTATCCAGATCAAGAAGGATTGGAGAGATTAGGATTACTACTAAGGAAAATGGGACAGTTTTACAAGGCTCAAGAAGTTTATGAAATTTTACTTCATCAAACAACAGATGAGAGTGACAAGGCACCTATTTATCATCAACTAGGTTCGATCAAAGATGATCAAGGAGAATATCAAGAAGCACTTACATATTATGAAAAATCATTTGCTATCTATCAGGAAACACTTCCTTCCAATCATCTTAATTTGGCTAACACCCATAACAACATCGGTGTGGTGTATCGGAAAATGGGTGATTATCCAAGAGCACTTTCATCTCATGAAAAAGCTCTTGCAATCCAACAACAATCACTTCCGTCCAATCATCCTGAGTTGGGTGCTTCCTATAACAACATCGGTAGTGTGTATAAGAACATGGGTGATTATCCAAAAGCACTTTCTTATTATGAAAAAGCCCTCGAAATTCGACAACAATCACTTCCTTCCAATCATCCTGATTTGGGTGCTTCCTATAACAACATCGGTGCAGTGTATGAGGATATGGGCAAGTATTTAAAAGCTCATTCATTTTATGAACGTGCTGTACAAAATGGACAACAATCATTACCAACAAATCATCCAACTCTTCAACAACGGAGAAAAAACCTCGAAGACATGAAAAAAAAAACTATAGTTTTTTCTGGTATTTTTTTTTGAAAGTAAAATACAACTGATGAAAAAGAAAATGTGTCTCTATTAAAACTCTGTTGTTGTTGAGAACATAATGTGAGCAGTAGCACTCACCGGTAAGGTAAACAATACATATTGGAAAGATATGTGTTGTAGAAAACGGTGACCGTTCATTTCGGTAAACGACAGTTCGTCCCCTACTATTCGTCCGGCACGAGTCGGCCTAAATGCCATTTGTCCGATTTCATTTTGTCTCTTTACAATTCGTCCTAATTATCTCTTGTCTCATTACACTTCGTCCTTTTACACCTCGTCCAAATTTACTTCTTCTCATATATTTTATCATGTAGTTTTTTGAAGAGCAATTTCCACAGGAATTGAAAAACCAACTTGAGGATAGGTGTGAGTGTGGGTGAGGGTTTGGATATGGGTGTGGGTGTGGGTGAGGGTTTG